AAAAACCCCTCACTTACTATATTTATTAAAAAAAAAAATCAGGGGTCAATACAGCCCGCATTGAGCTGCAGCTGTAAAGAGTACACATTGATATTCATTTTTCTTCTAATTCTACAGATGCAAATTAGCTCAAGGAAGGAACTTGGTTTATTCTATCTTTGAAGTAGTGAGCCTAGAAAAGTAATATGTTTTGACATTAAAGATCTATTTCTATTATATTATATAAATATAAAATATGAATGATTGTTTGCTTCTCTTCAAGAATGCCATTCCTGATCTAGCTTTGATCAAAGTGATACAAAATCAGAATGAATATACAGTGCAATAAAATACACAGGGGGCATTCAAGCCAGTGCACATTTTAAAAAGTCTCAAAAAAAAAATCAGTTCAAAATTCACCTGGAATATTCTTCACTGCTGCCTCAAAGAGGAAGGAACTCACCACTAAGTTACACACTAAAAATAAATTCCAAGTACACTCAATGAAAGATTAAAGTATTTGGAGGAGGATTGTAAATAAAGCTACAATTATTGACTACAGTATTCAGTATTAATTTTTTACTGAGCTTTCATACACTCCATGGAAATCTTTTGTAGTGCTCTGAATAAAGAAGCACTCCTTAGCAACTTTCACTCTCAGCTTTGAATTACTTGCAGCGATTTTTGCTCATCAAATCAAGTTCATTTTGCACTCATTAACACATCACTTTAAATAAACATTCATTTATTGACCAGGACACCAATTTACCAGTATTTGCCTGGAAATATCTGAATGCAGTATGTGCTGTTTAATACTTCGTTACATATATATGTAACATATACATGCAGAAAAACCATAGTAAATTGCAGCTGTTGATACAGCAGATAGAAACCCCAAAATGCACATCTAAAGATCTGTACCCACACAAATATACATGTGCATACTAAAATGTGCACACCACATCTGTATATGAGTAAGCACAAACATCACATACATTACTTTAACTGTGCATAAACCATATCATCCTAATAGTACCTAAAAAAAGCTTAAAGACTGGTGTAAAAATCATCAGTGGAAAAAAAATCCATTTCTCTTCATTGCAAATGTTTGTTAAATGTAAATGCTGATATTCTACTCCTTGGAAGAACATTTGTCTGCATGTGGAATTTCATGATAAAAGGCTTTAGAGTCCCAGGTTTCTCTAGATAAACCCCGCTGGTTTACTGATGCATGAATGCACTGAAATTGAATTACTGTACAACAGCAATTACTTTTCACAGTACAGTTATAATGAGAATCGGCTTCACAATGAACACCAGGTAGCTATAGTAGGAAAAGTTAATAAAAAGAAGCCTCTTATTTGCATTTTCCACTGCAGCAAGTGTAGTTGCCTTAAAGAAAAACCATCCTTAACACTTGATTTGCCATCACAGCAGTGAATCAACTATAATTTTATAGCGCTTCTTTATTTGCAAGGAAATATTAATGAAAATCAAAATTTTAGTACTAAGCTAAAGTTATAACAATAGCTTTTCAAATATTCCCTAATAACTTGGATATCTTTCATTTTGCTATCTTTTTTCTTCCCTCTAGCCTTGAATTTTTCCCAGTATGCCAATAACTAGGAAAAGTAAAAGCACCAAATAAACAATTTTAACTCCACCTCTTTTTCATTATCAAGTTTGTTGCTATGGTCATTTGTTACTTACTGAGCATTATGTCACAGTGCTTCATTCCCATTAAGTCTCAAATTAGTCAAGTCACTGAATTATCACAAAACCTTCTAAAAATTATATTAAAAAATCCCAGGCAACTTTAACACTGATGAAGCAAACTTCCTATGAGTGAAATAAATAAAAGTTCCACAAAAGCAGCAACACCTCAAGTGACAGCAGACTACACAAAGGTCTCAAATGGATTATTTGTGACTGGCTGTAAAATTAAAACAACTGCTGAACAGTGCAGGAGACATTTCTGTGTCTGTCACCTTATGGGCAGCAAGATTTTTCCCATCTCAGGCATTGTAATATTAAAAGTAAATGGATCCATTTACCTTTGTCACAGATAGAAACAAAACACCAGCGGCATTGAATCAAACCCACAGCTCAGGGATTTTAACTTAATTCATGTCACAAATACTTCAAAATAAAATACAAAGCTGCCTGCCTGAAATTCAATCAGGCAAGGCAGCATTAGGAAGGAAATGGTTAACAGGAATATCCTGAACTGATATAAACCCAAAGTAAATAGTGAGCACTGGAGAGAAGGAGGGGAAAATGTTGCTTGCAAGGTTTTCCATCAGAAAGTAGATGACAAAAGGTTATATAATTGGTTTAGTACTTTCAGTTTTCCATTTATCTTATGTATCTGACAGAACAAAAATAGGACAATCTGTGATAGGATAATTGCATACTGAAGGGTAATTCAAACAGGGAATGAATATGATAAAAATCACACTGAACCAACTAATCACTATGAAAAGCGATGAGAGAGAAAGATAAAAATTCATCCAGAATATTAAAGGAGAAAAGGGAGACGAGTTCACATGTGATTAGTAGCTTCAAATAAGTTCATATGTTTGAAAGCATCAAGCAGAATCACAAAAAAAAAAAAAAATAAAAAACCAAAAACACACACCTCCACAAAAACTCATTCTTCATGGCCTTTTCTACAAATCAAACACTTTACGTGCTATGAATTTTTGAACATTTTTCAGAATGCTACATCTGCTAATACCTGAACAAATATGTTTAGCCCAAAATACTTTTGGATAAAACATTTTAATCAACAATGGATTTTGATGTGTACTTGAAGCAAATTCACTCAGTGGTGTAGGGTAACAATTTGGGCTAATATTGGAACACACTTTGAGTCCTTGGATTTGCAGCCTCACAATCATGTCCCCATTATTTCTAAGGTTGAGGGGTATTTTATATGGTGTTCATGTAGTACTTCCTCCAACATCACCACCAATATACCTGACATATTGCTCTGAATTGTACGTTTCAGTGCTCTTGCACAAGTTTCCATCAAAAGCTTATGTCAAAATTCAAGTATTTAGAGACAAGATGATCCAGCATCAGGATTGAACAGAGCTCTTAAGTGTAGAGGAGTTTTCTAATTCCCATCTCACCTCCCCAGATATGAGGGGAAAATAAGTTGTGATGAACCAAGGATGAAATTTATACAAAACCTGCATTGTACCAAAGGTTTTTGTACTTCTCAGGATGCAAATTACCAAGCACTACTTACTACGAGAACAGAACGGGTCACTCTTTACATCTCTAGCATCAAGAAGGATCAATTTCTGTAATTGTGCAAAAAATAAGAACTTAATTGGAAAGTACACTAAACAGCTAATTTCTTAAAAGAAGTGCCCCTGTCCAAACCACGCTTTTAGCTTCCTTTCCAAAGACGGAAACCTTCCAAAAAGGCTCTGGATTTCAGTCACTTTTTCCAGCACTAAAACGCGTTCACTCAAGATTACACGCATGGTTTAACTTCGCGGAATTTGGGCTTGTTTTTACTCAGAGCATGGTGGTCTATATTGATCCTGTATTTTTTTTCCTCCTTAGATAAAAACACCATCTGTATGAAGAGACCAAACCTGTTCTAGCATTTGTTATGAAGCTCTAATTGAGACACAAACTGCTCTTCCCCAGCAGCACTCCTCCCTGATGGAATTCTATTCCCTCACCAGCCAAGCGCGCAGCTCGCTGGTCACTTCTCGCTCTAAACAAGTGCTGCTCCAAGAATGCTTTGTTCACATTATGATCTCAGGGGAGCAGTTTTCTCTGCAAAGAAACAAGAAAAAGAGTCCTCCCCCTTCCCCAAGTCAATATTCTTCAGGCTTCTGGAAGCTGTTGCACACATATTAAAGTGTAGTTTTTCCTCTGAAAAACACACTGTAAAAATAGCATTGCGGGGTTCCATGTTTATTGTCTTTCTCTGCTTCCCTGCCAAGTGAGCTCAGTTTTACAAGCTGAAATATGTTTTACTTCACTGCCAGCCCTGAAAATTCAACCTCTTAAACGTAGCCAAATTCCTTCCTCCCTTTTGCACCATAACAAAAAATACAAGGCTGAGGGTGGAATTGTATCCTCAGTCACACGAAAGGAATCCCTGTCCTCGGGTGATACCTCCAGCTCTGCAGTGGAGACAGGAGGATCTTCAGCTCAACTGAGCAGCTAAGTCTGGCTGAAATAGAGCAGCTGATGGTAAAGAGCATCACCATAATGTTCTGTGAGTTTGCTGACAGGGGTGATGCCACAGGAGCTATTGTGCTATTTCTAGCAAAGGATAGTGCAAAAGGAAAACTACAACAGGAAGATTTTTTTTTACTCCTTAGACCACACACGTTACAAAAAAATCCTATTTGATATAATAAAACATAAAAATCTGAACTTTTTTCTTGGTTTTTTAGTAAGTCTAATAGACACCGAAGCTATTACAAAAGAAGGATCAGAATGGAGATAGAAAAATACAAAAACAAAAAAAGAAAAAAAAAAGCACAAAAACTTACAGACATACAGAGAGCAGTTGAGTTATTCAGTGATCATTAATTAGCTGCCTGAAGAGTTATGTAGTGCTTGTCACAATTAAAATGTTTACCATTTGAAGTGTTTGCATATTTTTCTGATCTGAAGGACAGTTATTGAACTCAGACATTTCCCTGCAATACTATTTTTATAATAGTGAGCCCTGATATTAAGTCTGCTCTGGTTGGATATTTTAAAATCTAACATTTCAACCATATGCACTTAGGTTTTACTGCACACAAGTGATATGTTACAAACTCATATTGGAAATTGGTAGTCCCAGTCTTGTTGCACACTTTTGTCTATTGATGGTATAAATAATTTAAATCTATTCTCTTGAACAGTGATCCTAAAATACTTCTGAATGGTTTAGCATTTCCACTTCAGCACCTCAATTGCAAGTACAGCCTTCAGAGCAGAGCCTAAACTATATATTTAGTTTTACAGTGTAGAAGGAAATAGCAGACTGATCTGCTGCTTACCCGTACGGCTTCAGACTTCTTATGGAACATTTCTTCCATATTCTTTGCTAACTTTTTCACAAGCTGAAGGCCATCAATTTCTTCTATTGCAACATCCTTCTCATATTCTTTGTATTTCTGGAAGAAGAAAAGAAAATAGGGAAAAGTTACTCACAGGGAACCAGCTGAAATTTTGACAACTAATTATTCGTTTTATATTACACTTTTGCTGACATTCTTCATTTAGTTGATGTTTATTTGCATGACAGCAGGCTGCTTTGTGCCAAGATGCTGTCATGGGGAGAGAACAACTGGATTAGAACCAGAAGTCCATTTAAAAAATAATAAAAATATTTATCTCATGCACGGCAGGAAAATGATAACTCTCCTTCACAATGTTTAAATTTACTCTTCCCCACAACTAAACAAGAGCCAAAAAAAGGAACAAAAAATCCTTGTATCTCCTCCAAAAATCATGTAAAAACAGTGATATGATTGGCAATCCCTTTGCCTCAGCAACCTAGAATTCTGCTCCTCAGCTGAACTTCCTGCAGATGCCTATTTCACAAGCTTTATACAACACTTACATTAGGAGTACTTACACTACAAGCTTATCTAGACATGCTTAACTTTTCATGCAAAGAAAAGCCTAAACAAAGCACATCAACTTGAGCTTTCACCCAAACACAAGCATCAAAGCATCCTTTATCCAATATGAGCATTGCCACATTTCACAGTGTGAATAACTCTCAGAATGCCCAAGCACTAAAAATATATTCAAAACAAGTTTTATCCTCTGTTTTCTGCATATCAATACTTTTTTTCCTCACCAGTGTTTATGACGAAGCTCTGTAAAAATTAATTATTTAAAAGAATTTAATGCTGAGAACATTCTTCTTCCCCACGTTATTCCACTGCAGCCTGTACTCTAAGAACTCTTGGCTTCCACTCTGGACATTCTTTGCCTCTTTCTCTCTGAAACATGCACAGTTTTGTTGAACTGATCACTGCCCATCACCAAACCCTTCATCTGACCACAAACCTGCACCTCCCTGACACAGCACATCTGCCTCCTGCCAATTACCCTGTGCCAAAAATATCTCCCCAGCCTCTACTGTGGGACAACCCACAATGAGTGAATAAAATGAAATGGTATCATAAAAAAAAAAAAATCATTAAAATTTGCCTGCAGAATGATGATTCTTATAGGGCTCCAGAGAGACACTGGAGAATAAGGTGACCAAAAACAGTGGTTCAAAGCACCTGGAAGAATATTAAAATATTCAAAACAGTGAATAAGCCAGGACCAACTATGTCCTGGCTGGTGATGCTCTTTTGTTATGAGAATGCCTGCATGTGTTGTACCCGTTTCCCCCAACAAAACAAATTTTCAAGATAGACTGACTTTGTACTTTGTACTTCCTTTGAATTTACAGTTATCTATAAAAACTTCTATGAATGTTTTGATAATGAAACAATATTTAATAAAACAATCTGCAGACAATATCAGAACAAAGTTAAAAATGCAAAGTTGTCAGTAAATATTTAAGGCAATTTTTTAATATATGTAATTTCAGAAATAATTTCATTTTTCCACATTTTTGCCTGTCATGGATCTCTAGTTTGAGACCTTAATAGCAATCCAGCAACCTAAGAAACCTCAAACAAACCCCTTGCATTTTACTCCCTCAAGGCAAGCTTAGAGATTTGGGGTTTTCCCCTCTTTGATCTTCACTTAGATACCATCAACAGAGTTCTGATTTCAATTCTTGAAGTTCATTTATGTCATTACTGGAGATAAAAGGGATTTTTCTAAAATAGAAAAACACAGTTTCATTTTTTATTCACTGGAGTAAATATAAGAGCACAGTAGACAAGAGAGGCAAATGCTATTGTAACAAACACCACAATAAAATGCAGTAAATGACCAGTAAACTGAAAACACTGCCAGTTAATTAATGATGTCAATGCCTGTCCACATCCCACAGGATTTGAAGCTTTGGGGAATTTAAAGCAAATCAAGTACAAATTTGAATCACTTCTTTCCAGCTGCACAGATCATGTTCAACACATCACCTCCTGATAAAAATGTTTCCTTTAGACTTGACCTTTGAGTTTTTAGAAAGTATTCTAAAATGCATCACTTGAAGAGACAGCTTTCAGGTCATCAGATTTATTGATTTGAGCTTTGCCATTGAGTGAAGAAAGCCAGGCAATTATTCACTGAGTTTGCCTGAAAACTGAATGGAACTGTTGAAATACACAACATTTTCTAGGCACACAGAGCCCTACCACATGGTCTATTAGGCCCTTGTGAAAGCACATTAAAAAGCCACACTTCTCAATGCTGAGTAACTGGTACTTCTGTAAACTAAAAATAACTTGCACTCAAAAGAGATGTGAATGACTTCTTAACGCATAATTTATTATCTTATAATTATGCCATTTCATAGTAAATAAATGCATTTTTTTCATAATTCAAATGCCAAAGTTCCAGCACAAAAGAAGAAATTGGAAGAAACAGAAGATATTATTTCAGATCTATTTGAAAAGACCCCACATCTTGCATGGTGTGTAACTCTACTCAGTTGCTGGGAACCTTCAAGAACATTTGCAACACCAGGAGAGCTTACTTGGTCTGCAAGACCCTGGCAACCAAGAGGTTTATGTAATATGTATTTTATATTTGGAATTCCACTGGAAGGAAGAGGTGCCAGCCTGACCCGGGTGTGCCTGTGCTATCAGTGCTCACTCTGCAGGATGCAGGGAGATTTAGATTCCACCTGTAAAGAACCTGATTTTATAACAACTATCAATGCAACAAATCTGAATCACACAGGACGGTGAAAAGAAACAAAAAAACAAAACCACAATAAAACCACAACAAAGACCATCACTAATACTGCATTCTCTTCCTTTCACTGCAGAGGCTGTCTGACCTCCAGACCCTCATCCTTTCCCCACCACTGTTTTTACATATTAAATTTGGGTTTAAGTTTCAATAAATTAAAACAGCAAAGAAATAGTCCCTCTGAAATAGATATATATATATTTTATGAAATTATTATATTTCGATGTCATCTTGAAAAAGCAGCATGACACCATTGTTCTAGTTAAGCAAAATGAGTAGTGGGAAAAAACCAAGCTTTTGGGTCAGGCTCGCCTTTATACTCCAGACTTGCAAACTACCTTGCTATGAAGGTGTTCATACAAGCAATGCCTTAAATTATCATTTCCCTTCCCTGTAAAAATAATGAAGCTGATGACAAAGTTATTTTGTTTTATTTAAATAAATTTTTCAGCCCTTAGGCTTTTTCAATCTTCCCTAATTTTGCTTCATTAAGAGATACTGATAATTCTCATCATTTGTAACATAGGCAATAATACATGTGTATTGTTATTAAAAGGAGAGAAAATAGCTCTAACTTTTCTATAAACAATTGACTTGCTTAAAAAGAGTATGAAATATTAGAGGCATAGTTGGAAATTTCTTGTGATAGATGAATTTCCAATTGTCTAGGAGATGAAGCAGGTACAACTTCTGATTTGCTGCATTATAAAAAAAAAATACTTGAAATGCTGATTCTGTCAGCTTGCAAAAATCAGCATTTGGTAAGAAATTCTCTAGAGAGACAAGAACATTTATCATTTGAGAAAGCCCACAAAAAATACATTATTTCTTCAGTATCTGTTTTGCCAGATCATTTCACATAAGCACCGGGGAAAGACAGACAGTATTTCACTGTCAGAACCCTTAATGCTTTTCTGTTTTTCACTGGTTTAGGTGTGGGGGTTTTTTCTTGGTAAATGATCATCTAGAAATAATAAACCAAAAAGCTATCTGTAGAAAACTCGGATCAGAATTGTTTAATGTAATCAAAAATATTTGGCAATGAAAGATCAACGCAAACACACACAAACTAAGAATTGCTAACAAAAAAATGGCAGTGTCCCCAAAAGAAACAAAACCAAAGCAAAGCCAAACCACACCAAAACCCACAGAGTTTGAGCGACCAAGGCAGGAAAAGAAATCCACTCCTGAAGCAAGACACTTGACTACATCTCAAATTTCTTTTCTCCTTGTTTTTTATTCTAAATAGAAACATGGTCTTTGTGTTCTATTTGTATCTACTTCTATCAAGTCTTATCATAACCAAGATATTCACCTTTTTGCTGTAAACAGAAATATTTCAAGTTACTTACATGTGTGCACACCGTCCTTAGTCTCAGTCTTTCAAAAGGGCTCTGGTTGCTTTGTACATCTGCATAACACTACCCATTCAGGATGAAAATTCTTCCCCCTCCCTGGGATTTTCAGAGCCAATAAATACCACTACCATCCTGATTAAAGAAAGGAATTCAACAGGAATCTTGCAATAATACTTTAAAAGTCATCTCTCTGTGTTGCCTAGTTGGAGCTGTTATTTGCCTCTGAGGTGCATTCGTAGCTCTATTGCACACACTTCACAAATGTTGCTGGTTGAGAGATTTTGTCAAAGGCATGTTAAAACTATATGTGCATATATACATTTTATGTTTTATAATGAAAAAGCAGAACCAGCACGCAAATGGCAGATCAAATATCCAATCTATCCATTGTTTCCATGAAAAAATTAAATGTGTGTTTACTCCATGCCATTTTCAAAAAACTACTTTCAGATGTGCAAGCCTCAACATTGCAAATGTAAAGAGAGATTGCAGAAACATACACTTTTGATTAAATCACCAACTTTTGATTTCAATTAATATCTCTGGCCCAGCAGAAAAGCTGTGCTATGCAGTGCTTGAACTGTTTGGACTTGCTTCACTCCCGCTGCCACACCAGTCCTAGCAGTGACTCCCTCCAGAGAGGCAGTGCTGAACTGAAGGGCCACAGGAGTTAATAAACTTATTAGAATTATTTTGGTTCTGTATTTGAGATACCCCAAAAATCAGATGTAATTAATGAGACTGAAAGGCTGAAAAAAGCTTGCAGCTGATATAATTTGCAGCTGTTAAGCAGTTTCTTTAGTTACAGAGTCAAAAGCTATGCCACAGTCCTCACTGTATTCTTTACCCCTAAATGCATGAATTTGTCACTAAAGTTGAGTTTCCTAGCTGAAGTAGACTTGAATTTTTATGTCAAGTTCTTTTAAATT